CAAAATTTGATTAAAAATTTAATCATCACTTTATTAAGAAAATTTATTTATTTACATTATAAGGAAACTAATTCCTTACTTTTTGCAAGAAACTGTAACTATTTAACTTATTTATTATAAAATTATAATTTCCACAATTACAGTGTAATTAAATTCTAGTCTAAAATTTTGAAGGAAATCACTATATTCTGCTTTTATATGAATATTAAATAATATTGTTTTCCCCTATTCCTAAATTAGGTTAAAAAATTAAAGATGTTCATGAGCAATATGAAAAGTTTTTATTTTGTAACTTTGTTTACGCAAACTCTATCTATTCTGTAGATACCATCTTAAGAAAATGAGACACCTATAGCAAAATTTTTAATGAACACATATACAAGAAATAGAAATGACAGTATTTTTTGAACATTTATAGAATTGCAAAAACGTATACCTCATAATCATAATAATTAACATTTGGTACAAATAAAAATGGTTTTAAATTTTTTAATAAAATTAATCTATCCTATTATAGCTTTGTCTGCATATTGGAAATCCAAATGAATATCTATTATTTGGAAAAGTTCAAGTGGTTGTGGTATTCTACCCGTTTCCAATTTCGACCACACCGGAAGATCTAAAACAAATATACAAAATGATGAAAACATAGTTATGAAATTTGGTAGGAAGAAAGTAAATAAAAATGTTCTGCTTACCATTTAAATATATTTCGAAAGCTCCTGACGATATGAGTTGTCCTTCTATTGCATTAAAAATAAAGAATATCGTCATACAAGAATAAAACCTATTGTCCATGCACCATTGCCAAAGAGACGGCAGCGGTTGACCAAAATCAAATCCACTTATTATTAGAACTATTAATGAAATTTTTGCTAAACCCTAAAAGTGAAAACATAAATGTTATTCGAAGTTTATTTTATATTACATAAAGTTTATGTTGAGATAATGTAATTACTAATAATTTAGCAATAAACATGATATTTGAAGAGGGATTATAGTTCTCTCCATCGATTTGTAATTCCGGATATTTTTGTCGAAGAATACTAACATATTCTTCGTATACTTTTCTGTATCCACAAGAGTAACTGAAAAAACAGAGATATAAAAAATTGAATGAACAATTAATGGATGAAGCTAACACGATTATATGAATATACAAATAAAATAAACGTGGTTCATTTAAACGATATAACAATATTTACTTTTATGTTTGAATTTTTTTAACTTACCAATAAAAGAATTTTAACCTCGGTCCTGTTTTTGTACCAAGTTTGGTTAATGGAGCTTGATTGTCATCGGCTTTAGTGCTTAATGCGCATAAAACGACACAAAAGCACAAAATTAATTTCATAAGACGCATCATATTTTAAGTCATTGGAGTCGCATCAATTAAATCAAGTTTAACCAAAATAGTTAATTTGATTTGTCCTTATGAGAAACGCCAACCTGCACTTTTCTGTTCCTATCTTGTACCGATCCATTCGCTATCTGCTGCTAAGCAGAGCAGTGCCGAATTGAACCGAACTGAGCCGAACTGAACAAAACAGAACTAACCATAATGAGGTTTAATAATGTTACTGAATTCAATGAATCGATTGACAAATGAAATTAGACTTAATTATTGTTATATTAATTACAGGTCTCTATATTTTAAATTAGTTCCTCACGTTTTGTTAGATATTTTATTAAAAATTTTATTCATTTTAAATTGATATAAATATATGTACTATGATATAAATAATATGAAAACTCAATTTTCAATATGCATTATGCATAAGAAACATATGTATTAAAAAATGAATCCTTTTTCTTTCAATTAGATATGTCATATAATTATATAATTATAATTATATATACAAATTAGTATAATCAGTAAAAGGGAGAGAGAAAAAACATATATATAAATACTTTGTATACAATCTTTCTTAGGGTTGGATTAACTGTTTAGTTACTCGAATTACAGTTGAGTTAACTATTTAAACTTCAAAATAATATTCACAAAATTATGATTTGCTATAATTTTTATTTAAAAATTTTTGTACTAAACACACACATACATATAAGTATCACAATTCTAGATTAACTAGCGAAACATAAAATGTATGTAGAAAGGTACACTTGAAATAAAAATAATTCTAATGAATTATTCCACTACATTTTAAGGATCTTACTTGTGATGATGATACATACTGATATATTAGAACAGGAGGCACCATTTGGCTATTATTTTAAAAAAGACTTTATTTGCAATGGATGCCTTTCACATGCTTTTATTAGTTAATGATATCCTCTTTAAAAGAGATGAAGATTGTTCTTTAATTATAAATAAATAGCACGAGAATTTTCATCTCGTCAATAAAATACTTTTCAAGTAATAATTACTAAATGCAAAAAAGGAAAGCTCAGAACTGAAGCTGAGAAAGTAAAGCAAGGTGCTCAACATAGTACTTTTTATGCACTGAGTGAAACAGTGTTCATCTTCATGTGCACAGATTTATTAAGTTGCTTTCTTTCTTAGGATGTAGCACACAATTTTGTAAGTAGAGTATACTGTCCTTTAAACTTACTGCGAACTATGTAGTTCAGTAGTTTATAAGACTTGCTACTTTTAGTACTCAAAGTAATCTTTCTTTATAAAGTACTGTGCAACTCTTCAAAAGGCCATTTTGGCAGCAGTAAGTCCAAGGAAACTTAAAAGTTGAATAATGTTGCAAGGGAGAAACGGCCTTGTATTTAATTTTATAATTGACTTGAATCGTTTTCGGAACGTGAAGCTGTCATAAATCTGGAAATCTAAAAAAGGGAATAAAATTACAAAAGAAGAAACAGAATACAAAATTTAAATTAGTATACTAAATTATACGAGAAAAATTACAAGAGTTTTTTCAAATCACCTCATTGGATCTTCAAAATAGTCTGATGGTATTTGAAATAATTGTGGATCTATATCATTAAGAAAGGCGAATTCCTGAAACGTGATTTTTGCTGTCACTGTAGGTAAAATAGGTATATCAATTTTTACAGGGAATCCAGGTGGTAACTTCATCAGAACAAATTGTCGTAGTTTGCTAAAGTGTTTGAAAGGTGCAATTACTTCCAAAACATTGAGTAACATATCAACAGTCAGTGGAAAGTCTGGACTCATGGCAACTGTAGCTTTAAATGATTTACTACTTTCTTTGTAGACTAAACTTCTTCCTAAAAGTGGGCATTGACCAGGTGGAGCCATAATATATTCTTCCCAAGTGATGTTTGATTCTGGCGGTGGATTTAGAGAAGCTCTTCTTACATGAGGCTAAAATGTTAACAAGTAGTTATAAACCTGCAGAGTAACAAGATCTTTTCTCTTTTTTTACCTCTCCATTTGCAAATCCTTGTGAATTTCCTTTTGTTAAAGATTCCATAATAGCCTTATTTTTTTGCAAGTCTTCTTCACTTAAATGTTCCCGGCGTTTCCTACTTTCCAAAACCATTCCGTTGATTTGATAAAAGTCCGCGTTGAAAGGTCCTACCATCTCCTTTATTAAATATTTGAGATAAATCTCAAAAACACTTTAAGAAAAGAATAGGAGAAGGCAGTAGAAGAAAATGGGTGAAACTAACAACATTGGTCTCTTACCCTTTTATCTTCGCGAAATATCCAGCCAGTTTGAGCTCTTGAAAATGTAATCCCTTTTGTTGACATTTGTGCTGCCATAATATCGCTTGACATAAGAATATCAACTTCATCTTCTATATCCAATTCTGTTTCCTATAAGTCATAGATGAATAATAATGCTGCAAATGTTCAGCATCAAATATCGAGTCACAATGAAAAGAAAATAATAAAGTAATTAGACCTCGTATCTCACTCTTTGGAAAAGTTTAGCTTTGTTGTCTAGTACTGTTAATGATTTACTTGGCTTCTGGTCACCATTAAAAATGAAAGATATATCACCCCTTTCCCATCTCATATTATTAAAATCTACTAAAGTGGTGTCCATTCTAATGGATGCCCCACTTTTATGTATCTTACAGATATCAGATGGAAGTACTCGGGAAACAAGGGGAACTGAAAAGTACGAAATTTCATAGATCACTCTTATAATAATTGTAAGTAATATTTAAAANNAAAAAAAAAAGTTTTAAATTTCAATTAAAATGTTTAAAAACATAGCTCATAAGTAACAGTAATGAAAAGTACCCCAACTCTGAAAATCCCATCTTAATTCCATGTAAAAATCACCCATTTGTCGTAATGTGGCAACCAAATTTGGTCTTCTTTCTTCCATTTGTTCTCTAGCTTGCTGTTTTAGTTTGCGTACTAATGACGATACTGCAAAGAATGCAAAATTAATTATATTATTCTAGTGGCATAAACAGTTCATGAATATTTCTACTGACTGGTTTGTCTATCTCCATAACTAATTGCTTCAGCAAGTGGACTCCATCCAGCTAAGTTTTTTACTTTTACTGGTGCCCCATGTGCGAGCAACAATTGGACTGATTCTACAATTTTTGGAGTTTGTGTATTAATATGTGTTTTATTTTAAATATATATTTCACGTCCAATATGTAACTTATTACCTTTCCTTCCTAACATAACTGCCAAATGTAGAGGTGTATTTCCTAAAAAACCATTTATAATTTGTAAAATACAATACAATGTAACAATAGAATTTATATGTATAAGTGAAAAATTAAAGTATTATTATTAACCTTGCTTATCTTTCTCAGCAATGTTGTAAGGTGTAATTAAAGAACTTAAAGTTTTAACATCCCCTTGAAATATGCATTTGTGTAAAGGATATTTTTTGCTTTCTGAATTCTCGGCCATGACCGTTTTCCTTTGTTAGAAAACTTATAGAAAAAATGATAGTGATCCCTTTCTTTATCTAATTGAATCCCTTTTGATATAATAATAATTATCTTGTATTCCATTTCCACAATGCGGCATGCTACATTGAATAGTCATACCAAGAACTTTGTTATATCTGAAACATTTGTGAGCAGAAGCTCAATGTCCGATGTTTTACTTCTAACTGTTAACATCAATAAATATTCTATGTATTTCAATCAGTGTTTTTATAAATTAAATTCCAGTACAAACAATTTTGTATGTTTTGTAAAGTACTTAAGGAACGTTTTCTAGTTTAAAAAAATTCTTTTCGTGTTATTATTGTTGTTCTTGTTGATGTTTTTAGTTCTACCGCTATTGTTTTTAATCCTGTTTGTGTAGTCGTATTTTTCTTAGGTGGTTGTTCTTTAAATCAGTATGGTTAAACACTTCGACACATTTATTATTTAATGTCCTTTTACAAGGTTCAAACAATACACATTTGAAAACCGTGTATATTTTACGGATTCCTATATATTTCAATATTATTTATTTTTTATTATACAAAAGTATATTACACTGAACCACCACACTAGTAGGCCAGTACCGATTCGTTAACTTATATAGCTTGTGTAGGTACTGTACGTACACGTTTCGTTATATGCGTGTCACGTGAATATCTGAAGATATGTCAATGCATTGTTAGGCAAATATATATGAGTTTAATTTTTGAGAAAATAACATTACAAATGTAAGGATATATATATTTGTAATTTTTTTGTGTCTTAAATTATAACTGAAGTAATACATAAAAAATCATATCATTAAGTGATAAAGTTGAAGTTACTAGAGATATACTGATACCATGTAAGTACTTATAATGATGTTATGTATTATGTGATGTTATATATGTAATACATAACATCATTATATATATAAAAATTTTAGGATTTGTAAATAGGTTTCAAATTTATTAGAATATATGATAATACATACTATACAAGAAAATTTTAATTTCCCATGGTATATTGAAAAGTTCAATAATAAATAACTGAT